GCGCGCGCACACACACACACACACACACACACACACACACACACACTCACTCACTCTCTCCCCCTCCTCTCCCTGGCTCACCGTGGCAGAGAATGCCCGCCTTCCTTCCCCGTGGCACTGCGCCCTGGCACGGGGCAGGGGCACTGAGGTCTCCCCGTCCTCCCAGCGACCTGCCCAAGCCCCAGAGGAAGTGCCCTTACACCCTGCGTTCCCGCCAGCTTCTCGGGTTTGGATTTTTTTTTGCCCCATTCATGACCAGTTGGTTCGGCTGAATCCTCCAACAACTGGGGACAGTTCCCGACGTGGTAAGGTGGGAAGAGGTGAGGGCAAAGCGAATTAATCGACAGGCGTTTTATGGCATCAACACAGCACCTTCTATTCCGTGGGAATTTATTTCCGGAGAGAAAGGCAGAATTAAGGAGGCCGGGGTGGGGGGGGATAACCAAAAACTTACTAATTCAGCCAGAGTCCTCTGTTGATGGCCTGCTTCCCTCCACGAGGTTTTCCGATGAGAGAGGTGTCAGAAGCGCGGGGAGAGGGAAGGGGTGCGCGAGTGGAATTCTGTGTTGAAGGAGAGGATGGGGTTAATTGTCTGGGTGTTGCTTAGCGGGAAGTTTTGGTGCAGAGGATGGAGCGGTGTTATTGCCAGAGGCAGGGGCCCGGTAGCTAAGGTTGAAGGGAGGACTCAAACCGAGTCTGGGCGATAGGGGGACCCTCCCCTCGGCGCAGCTGGCTGGAGACCGCGCGCCCACCTTCTGCGTGGCGAGAGGACTGTGGACCCGCTTGGGTGGAAGCGCGGAGGGGCCCGCGGGCGCTGTCTCCACAGCCCACAGTTTGGCCTGAGTGCCTCTAGGCCAGACTTGCCCGGGAGCTGCCTGGGACAGCGACCAGAAACCACCCTGAGCTTCTGGGCTCGAGTTCTTTTTGTGTTTTGGCTTTGGTTGTTGTTGTTTTCTCACCTTCAGATAATACTTTGGTGTGCATTCGATCATTAAAAGGGGCTGTGGAGGTTTGGAACGCCCGCGAGCGCTGTGGGTGCGCTCCGAGGGGATAAAGCGGCGCATTTGCATCGCAGGGCGGCGGGCGGCCTGACTGCGGCTGCCGTGGGCAAATTATTTATTGCGACCGTGCCGGGCGCTCGCTGCTGCCACGCTGTGGCCGTCGCCGGGACGACGCCAGCCGCAGCTCCGCGTCCTGCAGCCTGGCGCGACTGCTGCGCGGGCCCCTCAGAGATTCCCAAGAAGGCCGAGGAGAGGGGGGCGAGGGAGGACCTGAGGGGCGGTCTCCCAGGGCCTGACTGGCTCGGAACCTCCCCCGCCTTGGCCACCTGACAGGAGCTGGACGCCCGACTAGACTCGGGTTCCCCCTCCCCACCAGCACCATGGAGACTGGTTGCACAGGCCGCCTGGCACATCATGGCTGCTTCTGTCCAAACTGCGCGTCCCAAGGCGCCCTGGGGGCGCACGCTGGTTCGGGGAACGCGCGGCTTTGGGATTTTGAAATCAAAGAGACCACTCGTAGTCCTGAGGCCTGCAGGCCTGGCTGGCCTTGAGGAAGATTGGCTATGGCAAGGAAGGCGGGCTTTGGCTCCAGGCGAGGGCTGGTGACAGGCAGAGGCCGCACCTGTGTGCTGTGGGCTCTGGCCTGGGCTAGAGATCCGGGCAGATGAGGTGGCCTTCAAGGTCCCCCCACACTGGCGGGCCGCCTTCCAGCCTGGCAGAAGTCGAGGAGCTCAGTGGGCAGCCCAGGGAAAGGGCAGATTGTGGGGCCCTGCTCGCCATCCAGTACCCCTTGAAGAGCAGCTGAAAGGTAAGTGGACTTTCTGCGTGGCTTTGACCAAGAAGAGAGAGCCCTGGTGGCCGTTCTCACCATCCCAGGAAAGGATCCGTCCAGGGTC